ATGTACCTGATGCTCGACGAACAAAGCTTCAAAATAAGAGTCGCAGCTGTGTTTTATTTGGAATGAGTGCAGAATCAAAAGGATATATGCTCTACGATCCTGTATCCAAGAAGATCGTTTTTAGTAAAGATGTTGTCTTTGAGGAAGAGAAAGAGTGGAATTGGGATGCAAGTGTTTGCGTCAACGTCAGTGTCAGCGATGTCTCCCCAAAGAAGGTAAATACTTGATCATTAGTTTGTACGTTGATGATTTGATCTTTACTGGAAATGATGAAGGAATTTAAGGAATCTATATTGAAAGAGTTTGATATGTCTGATCTGGGAAGGATGAACTATTTCCTTGGCTTAGAAGTGGTACAGTCTGATGGGAGAATCTTTATTAGCCAGAAGAAGTATGTGAAAGAAGTGCTGAAAAAATTTGGAATGGGCGAATGTAATTCTGTTTTGAATCCAATTGTTCCGGGATTCAAAATTCATAAGGATGAAGACGGAGTTAAAGTCGATGGTTCACTCTACAAGCAGCTAGTGGGGAGCATGATGTACTTGACAGCCACAAGGCCGGACGTAATGTATGCTGTCAGTCTCATCAGCAGGTATATGTCCCAACCAACTGAGCAGCTAAGAGAATTCTAAGGAATCTACAAGGCACCTCTGGTTATGGAATTCTCTACAAAAGGGCAGGAAACCGGGAGCTTGTAGGCTTCACTGACAGTAATTATGCAGGATGTGTGGAGGACAGAAAGAGTACATCAGGGTATGCATTCATTCTAAGCGATGCAACAGTAGCTTGGTCGTCTAGAAAGCAACCCATTGTCACTTTGAGTACAACAGAAGCTGAATTTGTAGCTTGTCAAATGGTTTGGATGAAAAGGATATTGAAGAAGATCGGTTATGAAGGAAACACAAGTCCAGTCATTTTCTGTGATAACAGCTCAACTATCAAGCTATCAAAGAACCCGATAATGCATGTTAAGAGCAAACATATTGATGTTCGTTTTCACTTCATGAGAGATCTGGTGAATGAAGGGGCTGTGCAACTTAAGTTTTGTGGCACTCAACAACAAATTGCAGACATATTTACCAAGCCACACAAGTTAGAGAAGTTTCAAGAGTTCAGAAAGAAGTTGGGGGTCTGTGATGAAGCAACGTTAAACAAGCTCTGTCTAGTTTAGGAGAGGGAATGATAAGATTAAGTTTATTAGCAGTTTTAGTTTATGTCCGAATGTTCGGGGCACTTTGTTATTTGATGTTATTTGTTTCAGTCAAATGCGATCACGTTAGACCACGTTTAGCACTCTGTTTCTCATTTCCTGTTAGGCTATTTAAGTCATTGTTATTTGCTCAATGAAGTTAGTTTTCCAGAAATTGTTCTTTGCAATGGATGCTAAAGAATTAATTGGTGTTGTTATTAGACCATCGGCCTGGCCAAAACTAAAGTCTATAAAAAATTTGCTAATGCACGTGTTAGTTTCGAACAAGGCGGACTATCAAAATGCAATCGCCAAAGACGAAAAAAAAAAAAATTCTAAAATTAATCAAATGATACATACACTTTCTAGATACTTTTCATTTTGTAACCTTATCCTCCCAATCCATTACGCAGAAACAGTCAGACCCAAATTCCTCTTTGTTACGTAATCCTAAAAATATTTTCAGATTTGATTGCTTTTCTTTTTTATTCTTCCTTTTTGGGTTTAAATCTTCATCATTGTAAACTTCTTTCAACTTTCCAGTAATTTGATTTAATTGGAATCAACATTTTATATCTATCTAATAAACTGTAGATCAATTATTTTCAGCCATGGGTAAATCAAATTCCGGCATGTCAAAAATTCTATCTACCAAGTTAAGTACCCGGAACTTGGTAAGAATTATTTCGCCATCGTCTGATTCTAAAAATATTCAACATCCGTAAAAAATTATACAGGTTTGTTCATAGGGTTATTCATACTCAAATATAAATCTAATTCACAAAGACACAAAAAACAGGTTTTTGTTTCAAAGAAAACGAAATCAAAGTTTGTAAAAATAATCCAAGGAAAAAAAAAAAGTTGAAGAGTCAGAAATCTCGTGTGGAAAATCGACGCTCATCGCGACAATAAGACACTAGCGTTCGATATAAATTTTGATTTCATCATTCTCCTCTAAAATAAAAAAAAAATCGAATCTTAAATCAAAACTCAGAACGAAAAAATAAAAAGTGCAGATTCATTCAAGAATTGAAGATGAATTAGATTTGAAGTAGAAGACGGAAACAGAGAGATAAAGATGGCTTTATATAAGGCACAATTATTTGCCCTAATTTCGCAGTTATTGGGCTTTTAGGCCCAATAAGAAAACGGGTTCACATTTGTCTCCTTAGGGTTGGGAAGGATCTAGATATCACGTTAAGAGTTCTAATTTTGGGCTTAATCTGTATACAGGCCTTGATTGCATATATATAATAAAGGGGAAAAATATCAAAAAGAAAAGTTTGAGCATATAATAAAGGGGAAAAATGTCAAAAAAAGCATCAACTTTCTAAAAGTGTTGAAAGAAAATATCCACTTTAGTTGTGGTGAATTAAACACCAACTTTCAATTAAATCGTTAAGTCAACTGACGGATCTATTTAACGGGGTTAAGTCAATATTAACAGTTTCCGTTAAACCGTAAAACAACGTCGTTTTGTATTTTTTTTTTTAAGAACAAATCTGAGATTTGAACCAAATCCCCTTGAGAGAAGATATTAACCAACTGAGCTAAACTGTTTTATTGACAATTTCACACACACATATATACCATATATGTGGATAAAATTATTTTTTCTATAATTAAAATTGAAAATTTGTTTACTTAAATTTGTTTTTTTTTTCTAATATCAAACTTTCAAGTTTAAAACTAAAACATTTTTATAATAAACAAAATCGTAATTTCATTTATATTAAATTATTTTAATTAATAATTAATAATGAAAATAAGTATTTATACAGTATTAAATATTAATTTGTATCATAAATTAATTTGTATTAATAATAATAAATAATAATGTATAAATATTTATTTTAATTTTTATTATAAAATAATTTATATAAATTTATTTTAAAGTCATGTCATCTACTGGTTGAGCTTGAGTACAAGGCCATGTGGGCGGTTAAGCTTTTAAATTTTGATATCAAGACCGCCGCGGAGAAGAGGTTGATCCAATTGAATGATCTTGATGAGATTCGTTTAGACGCCTATGAGAATTCAAAAATCTACAAGGAGAAAACTAAGGCGTTTCATGACAAGAAGATCATTTCAAGAGATTTCAAGGTAGATGATCAAGTGTTGTTGTTTAATTCCCGTTTGAGATTCTTTCCGGGAAAGCTCAATTCTCGTTGGTCGGGTCCGTTTAAGATCAAGGAAGTAAGGCCATATGGAGCTTTTGTGTTGAGGAACAAGAATGGTGGTGAGTTTGTTCTTTGTTGTGATGAATGGTCAACGCTTGAAACCATACATGGCAAATGATCAAGTCGAGGAAGGAACCACGGTTTCTCTCTCGAAGCCTCAATCCGTCAAGCTATGTGACGCAAAACAAGCGCACTTGGGAGGCAATCCCATGGTATCCTTGTATATACTTGCTTTATTTTGTTTTGTTTCATGTTTTTATTGATTTTGGTTATTGGTCTTATGAGAAGTGAGGTTTCATGAAGATTTGAGGGGTTTATTGCGTGAGCCCGTTGGCGAGATGTCTTTTGATCCATTTCAGGTTAAAATAAGGATGATACACATTTAAATGGATAGAAAAGCAAAGAAGGTTCAGTACCAGTTGAAAACGTCTCAAAGATCGACTCAGATGAAGATCTTGTATTGAGATTTAGCTTCGGGTCTCTTCACAAAAGTTATAGGAAATTGAGTTAGCTTTCCAATGGTGGGGATTTCATGCAAATCAGAGCTGCAATGCAAAAGTTATGGCGGATTTAGTGGACGTATGTCAATCTGGCGCGGAAATGAGCAAAGAGAGAAGAAGGCATTCATTTCCAGTGACTTCCGCGGCCATCTCCATCGGGCAAGTGTTAACCGATAGCTGGTTTGGAGGAAAATGCCAGGGAGTTCAGCGGTTTGTTCCACCGGGCAAATACAGACCGGTTGGTGTCAACGGCTCACTCAATCGACGTTGGAACCCAGGTAAGTCAACTCATCTCTTGTTGACCGGTTTAGTTCGGTCTAATTTAAGTGAACCCAGCCCAATTTAAAATCAATTTAGCTGGTTTATTTCTCCTTCTTCTCCCACAAATCGATATTTTCTTTCTTCTCCCACAAGCTCTTCACTTTCACAACACCAAAACTTTGATTTCTCTCTCAATTCTTCACCAAATTCTCTGAAATCACTTGCTTTCATTCCGAAATCTTGCACCCAACTGATTAATTCCTTACCCAAATCCCGGATTTCATCTCTCTCTCCATCGATTTTAAGGTATGGACACTATTTTCAAACTCTTTCAAGTTTTTGTTGCAAGAACTTAAATGTTAAGCTTGATTGAGTTCGATTCTTCGAGAAAACGCGTTCTAATGGTGTTTATGCTTGTTATAATCGATTCCCTAGTTGAATTTGAGCTTGATTGATTGAAATTTTAAAATTTCACATGTTAGGGTTCTTGAGAGAAGAGAATTAAACGGAAATTTTGGGAATTCTTTGGGATTGTGGTTTCATTGGAACTAATTAGGCTCATTAAGCCTCAGATTGAAAGAATCCTTGATTTGAGAACAATGTGTGTTCATGTTTCAAGTTTTAGAAGTGAGAATGATGAATTGTGATTCATGGTGCTCTTGAATTGTGTTGTTGGTGTTTTGTATGGCTTTGTTCTTGAACTTGTGATGATTAAAACTGTTTAGTTGTGCTCCTCATGACATAATTCCTTCACTTATGATTTGATTCACACTCTTGTCGCTCCTTGTGAGCAAGACTAACGTTTTTCGAAAAGTGTTTCTATCATTTTGAAGGTTACTAATGACGACAACTACAAAACGTGCGGGTGAAAAAGAACAAGAACAAGTGGTACCTCCAACAACAAAAGGGAACAGAAAAGCACAAGCGAAGCCTTCCAAAACTGCGAACCACGCCTCAAGCATCAAGCTCTAAAGCTCCTCCAAAAAACCGGAACGACAAACAAAAGGTAGTTGAGCCGAGTGATCTCGAGGATGAAAGTTGAGTTTTGGGTGAAATAAAAAAGGGTTCTAGAGAGTTCCTTCAATCGTTTCGAGCAGCGAGGAAGACGAGGAAGGATTTGAAAAACTCACCGACATGGCGGGAATGGCTTTGACGAGGACGAATAAGGCCTTCACATTGGTGCTTTCTAGCTCTAAGACCTAAATACCAAAAGCGCCATCTCCATCATTATTGTTCAGCTAGGCTTTGAAACTTAGAGAATAGGATTCGTAGACATAAGCAACAATTATTTACCTTTGTGCATAGTTTTTCAGCCTGCTTGTAATCTTTCAACTTCAGTTTGCAGGCTACATCCTTTAGATTGCACGCCACCTTCAATGCTTTTGCTTGCTTCTTCTCTTCCTCACTGAAGGATGTGTCATATTCAATGAATTTGACAGCCTGAGAACAAACTAAACCATGTAAGATTACGTTCGACATACTCACATTTCACCGAGCACTTTAATAGAATATACCTTCTCATATCTCTTGGAAGCCAGGGCATATTTGCCTGCTTTAAACTTGGCATTTCCTTCTTCCTTCTTCTTACCAGCAGCTTCTATCTTCTCCTCAGTGTTCACGTCCCACAATTCTCTTTCCTAAAAATCCAGCGGCAAACAAGTGTTGGACACCTATACTTCCATATTGAGTGAATTGTGAATTGCATAAGCATCCAAAACACTCCACTAACCTTTTCGAAAGTCACAAGGTCAACCTCATAATTAACGGTTGAGTTTGGCGGCACCACAGCCAATTCCTGTCGTGACACAGTAGAACCAAAGGCATACTCTGGTTCTATGGTCACCAAAGCCACTTCACCCTTTTTCATCTTCATGACAGCGCATCACTTGCTCTGTTTAAGCATACGGAAAATGAGTTACTACGACTAAGTAAACCAAGGAAAATTCCGGCACATCCAATGTGTTTAGTGAGTATGGGATCACTAGACATGAGTTAATTAATTTTAAAAAAAAATGGGTTGGGGTGTTTCAATTTGGTATCAGAGCGGAGTTCGGTTCTAGGATGCGTAGGAAATTTAATTGATGAGTTGATTTCCTGATGATTGTTGAGTGATGAGCTAGGGTGTTAGCATACTGAGAATTGATTATTAGAGTGTTTAATCAATTTTGTGCTGTTGGAGTTCTAGTATCATCCTCTCCGAACCTTAAACGAGATTCCACGGTAAGTTGTGTGTTAATCTTTTGTTGTTCTAGTTTCTTAGTCTTCTGTTCTTGGGTAGCGCAGATGGCTAGAGGAGCTGGAGTTTCCGGTAGAGGTCGTGGTCGTGGCAGAGCAGGAGCTCTTGAGGGTGCCGCGATGGAGCAGATTGCGGGTCTGCAGCCTGAGGTTGAGGAGGGGACCGGGGCAGTTGACGGTACTGGCGTCGCCGCAGCGGAGTTAGCTGGTGGCGGTGCCGGTGAGCGTGTCGTTGGTGCAGATAACCCGGGAGTGTTGGGTGCTGCAGCCGGAGTAGCCCAGGGTCAGGACGGAGGCTTGGCGGACCTGCTGAGGCAGTTGTTGGAGCGGTTGCCAGGTGTGGTACCAGTGCAGGCTCCAGTGGCACAGCAGGTGCCAGTTGCACCACGGGTGCAGGAGGAGGTACAACCTAGAGCTGCAGTTGCTGGAGGTGTTCCGTCATACATTAAGATGATGGAGCAGCTGCAGAAGATTGGTACTGGGTACTTTTCTGGTGGTCCTAGTTCTGAGGAGGCTGATACCTAGAGGGATCGAGTTGAGAGGAACTTTCGTTCCACTAGATCCCCGGAGGAGTATCGGGTAGATCTGGCAGTGCATTTCCTGGAGAAGGATGCACATTTGTGGTGGCGTAGTGTGATCGCCAGGAGGAGTCAGGCGGAGATGACTTGGGCGGACTTCTTGAAGGAGTTTAACGCCAAGTATTTTCCGCAGGAGGCGCTTGATCGTATGGAGGCGCGTTTTCTCAGGCTGTCGCAAGAGGAGCGGACGGTCCGAGAGTATGATCAGGAGTTTAACAAACTCTTGGTGTATGCTGGGCATGGCATGGAGGAGGATAAGACCCAGATGCGAAAGTTCCTGATGGGACTTAGGCCTGACCTGAGAGCGCGGTGCGGCGGGCTTGGTGGAGATGGCTGCTGAGATTTAGGGGGATCTCCAGGGAGAGGTTGTGCCGGCTATTCCAGCGGCTCAGCCGAAGAGGACTCAGCAGCAGGTGGCACCTGGCAGGGGCGGCAAGCCTGCGCAGGGGCAGAAGAGGAAGTGGGACCACACTTCCAGAGTTGGTCAGAGTGGCCAGGGTGGTCGTGCTGGGTGTTTTTCTTGTGGGAGTCTTGACCACAAGGTAGCGGACTACACTCGCCGTGTGGAGACCAGGGAGTGCTACCATTGCAAGGAGAAGGGACATCTCAAACCGAATTGTCCTAAGTTGCAGCGGACGGCAGTGGCAGCGGTGCAGCAGGGCGCGCAGCCGCAGGGCGGGCTGCAGTTGGCGCAGATCGCAGCACCACCTTAGGGGTACACCACGTTCGAGATGGGAGACACCAGCACCAGAGCAGCGATCACTGGTATGAATTCTAGAACTCAGACTTTGTAAATTTCTGATTGTTTTAGATAGAATTGTTTTTGTTGGGTGTTGAATGTTAGGGTTCTTAGCACATAAGGTTTGTGGAGGGACCTTATTGGTGGGCGGTGTAGAGGCCCATGTGTTGTTTGACTCTGGAGCGTCTCACTGCTGTATTACCCCGGATTGTGCCTTGCGTGGCAACATCCGAGGAGACCCTGGCGAGCAGGTTGGACCAGTTAAGGTCGCTGGAGGAGGGCTCCTAGAGGTCTTTGGGAGAGTTAAGGGTGTGGATATTCAGATTGCAGGGGAGTCGATGCCAGCGGATCTGATTATTTGCCCTGTGGAGCTGCATGATGTTATTCTGGGGATGGATTGGTTGGACCAATACAGAGTACATCTGGATTGTCACCGAGGGAGAGTTTCGTTCGAAAGGCCAGAGGGGAGGTTGGTATTTCAGGGAGTGAGGCCTACCTCAACGAGTCTCGTCATCTCAGCAGTGCAGGCAGGGAGGATGATCGAGAAGGGCTACGAGGCTTACCTGGTGACAATATCTATGCCGGAGTCTGTGGGGCAGGCGTCAGTGAGTGACATTCGGGTTGTTCAGGAGTTCGGGGATGTGTTTTAGTCGTTGCAGGGATTACCACCTTCTCGGTCAGATCCTTTCACGATTGAGTTGGAACCAGGGACAGCGCTGTTGTCTAAGGCACCCTACAGGATGGCTCCAGCAGAGATGACAGAGCTGAAGAAGCAGCTGGAGGATTTGTTGGGTAAGGGATTCATTCATCCTAGCACTTCACCTTGGAGAGCGCCGGTGTTGTTCGTGAAGAAGAAGGACGGATGTTTCCGCTTGTCTATTGACTACCGGGGGTTGAACCGGGTCATTGTGAAGAACAAGTACCCTTTGCCGAGGATCGATGAGTTGTTGGATCAGCTGAGGGGCGCTACTTGGTTTTCTAAGATTGACTTGGCGTCGGGTTATCATCAGATCCCGATAGCGGAGGCAGATGTGCGCAAGACTGCTTTCAGGACGAGATACGGGCATTTTGAGTTTGTGGTGATGCCTTTCGGCGGCGTGTTCCAGGAGTTTTTGGATGAGTTCGTGATCATCTTTATTGATGACATTCTGGTGTATTCGAAGAGTCATGAGGAGCATGAGGTGCATCTGAGGAGAGTGATGGAGAGGCTACGGGAGCAGAAGCTGTTCGCTAAGTTGAGTAAGTGCAGTTTCTGGCAGCGGGAGATGGGCTTTATGGGCCACATTGTTTCTGCAGAGGGAGTTTCTATGGTTCCGGAGAAGATTGAGGCTATCAGAGACTGGCCTAGACCGACGAATGCCACTGAGATCAGGAGTTTTCTTGGATTGGCAGGTTACTACAGGAGGTTCGTCAAGGGGTTTGCGAGTATGGCACAGCCGATGACTAAGCTTACAGGGAAGGATGTTCCGTTTGTCTGGTCACCGAAGTGCGAGCAGGGTTTCGAAAGCCTGAAGGAGTTGTTGACGAGTACACCAGTGTTGGCACTGCCGGAGCATGGAGAGCCTTACACAGTGTACACAGATGCCTCGAGAGTTGGTTGGGGTTGTGTTCTAATGCAGCGTGGGAAGGTTATTGCCTATGCTTCGCAGCAGTTGCGGAAGCACGAGGGCAACTACCCTACTCATGATTTGGAGATGGCTGCAGTGGTTTTCGCCCTGAAGATTTGGAGGTCTTATCTTTATGGCGGACAGGTGCAGGTGCTCACGGATCATAAGAGTCTGAGGTATATCTTCACTCAGCCAGAGCTGAACCTGAGTCAGAGGCGGTGGATGGAGCTGGTGGCTGATTATGATCTGGAGATAGCTTACCATCCTGGTAAAGCTAATGTGGTTGCTGATGCGTTAAGCCGTAAGCGTGGAGGTGCTGCTCCAGGGCAGAGTGTGGAGGCCCTGGTGAGCGAGATTGGTGCTTTGCGGTTGTGTGCTATTACCCGAGAGCCGTTGGGGTTGGAAGCTGTGGATCATGCAGATCTTCTGAGTAGAGTTCGGTTGGCTCAGGAGAAGGATGAGGGTTTGATTGCGGCTTCTAAGGCAGAGGGCTCTGAGTATCAGTTCGCATCTAATGGGACTATCCTTGTACATGGACGGGTTTGCGTGCCTAAGGATGAGGGGTTGCGACAAGAGATTTTGAGCGAGGCTCATGCGAGTATGTTTTCCATTCATCCGGGAGCGACTAAGATGTACCGAGATCTCAAGCGGTACTATCATTGGGTCGGGATGAAGAGGGATGTAGCTGACTGGGTCGCTAAGTGCGACACTTGCCAGTTGGTGAAGGCTGAGCATCAGGTTCCTGGTGGTCTGTTGAGGAGTTTGCCCATTCCGGAGTGGAAGTGTGATATGATCACTATGGACTTTGTGGTTGGTTTGCCTTTGTCGCGGACCAAGGATTCTATTTGGGTGATTGTGGACCGTCTGACTAAGTCAGCACATTTTCTGGCCATCAGAAAAATCGATGGAGTGGCGGTTTTAGCTAAGAAATATGTGAGCGAGATCGTGAAGTTGCATGGAGTACCTGTGAGTATTGTGTCAGACAGGGACCCCAGGTTTACTTCAGCTTTCTGGGATGCCTTTCAGGCAGAGATGGGCACTAAGGTGCATATGAGTACGGCGTATCATCCTCAGACAGATGGGCAATCAGAGAGGACTATCCAGACACTGGAGGACATGTTGCGGATGTGTGTCTTGGATTGGGGTGGTCATTGGGCAGATCTCCTGAGTCTGGCAGAGTTTGCTTATAACAATAGCTACCAGGCGAGTATCGGGATGGCTCCTTATGAGGCGTTATATGGGAGGCCATGCAGGACACCATTATGCTGGACCCAAGTGGGGGAGAGGAGCATTTATGGTGCAGATTTTGTTCAGGCGACCTCAGAGAGGATTCGGGTCCTTAAGCTGAACATGAAGGAAGCTCAGGATCGTCAGCGGAGTTATGCTGACAAGAGGAGGAGAGAGCTTGAGTTCGAGGTTGGGGACAGAGTGTACCTCAAGATGGCCATGTTGCGAGGTTCGAACAGGTCTATCTCTAAGAATAAGTTGAGTCCGAGGTACATGGGCCCGTTTGAGATTGTTGAGAGGGTGGGACCAGTGGCATACAGGCTGGAGTTGCCAGAGGTTATGCGCGCGTTCCACAAGGTGTTCCATGTGTCGATGCTGAGGAAGTGTCTTCGCAAGGATGATCAGGTGTTGGCTAAGATTCCTGAGGATCTTCAGCCCAACATGACTGTAGAGGCGAGACCAGTGAGGATTCTCGAGAGGAGGATCAAGGAACTTCGGCGGAAGAAGATTCCTTTGATCAGAGTCCAGTGGGACTGCGACGGAGTGTCGGAGGAGACTTGGGAGCCAGAGTCGAGGATATAGGCAAAGTTCGGGAAGTGGTTCGAGAAGCAGGCGGCTGCTTGAGTGCCTATCCTTGGTTTCCAGTTTCAGAGTTTTTAGAGTTTTTGAGTTTGAGTTGTTGTTCTTATTTTTCCTTTCATTATGTATTTTCGTTTGGAGTTGTAACGATTACGACATTTTGAGGATTAATAAGATGAGTATTTTCTTGGATTTGCCTTGAGTTGTCTTATTTATGAAAGAGTTGTGCGGTTTCTAAAAAAGGGAAAGTTTCCCGGAAAGGAAATTTCTATTTGTGGAAAGTTCGAGGGAGTACTCGGAAGCGGTTAGTATTGTTGCTCCGGGACATAAGTGTCCTGATGACTCATGGGGAGCGGGGTATGCTCCTGAGGTACCGGTAACTCGAGGGACTTGGTGTCTTTAGAGTGCGTTGGGTACGGTGGCTTCGGGTGACGATCCGAGAGCGTGTCTTAGGGTGACAACCCGACGACGAGTTTGTGGTATTATTTCTCCAAGTGTCGTAACTTGATGACTTTGTGGCTGATAGTGAGCGGACACAGCTCCGGGTTTTGACTTGGGAGGGGGGGAAATAATACGTTCGATACCTGAGATACCGTAGGCCGAGGCCTGAGAGTGACGGTTTATGCTCAAAGACTGCGGTCTAAGAGTAGTTTTTAGAGTTGTGAGCAACAATGAATAGTGAAACCGTGAGTTGCAGTTGGAAGTGCGGACAGAAGTGTCAGTTGTTCAGAGTTTGCGGATTGGAGGTGTTAAGCTAGATTCGAGGACGAATCTATGTTAGTGGGGGAGAATTGTAACGCCCGCGAACGAGGTTCCGGTCAGAGGACGAGGTTCCGGTCGATCGACACTAGCATTTCGAGCAGTTGGGCTTTTGGGCTTTTAATTGCGCGTTTTGTCGGGTTTAGGGAAAGGAAACCCTAGGGGGCTCGTTTAAAAGGTCAGAGGACGCGACCTAGGGCTTTCATTAGCCTCCTTTGTCGTTTTCAAGAGAGAAATCAGAGAAGAAAAGTCTGTGAGAGTTTTCTGTGAGTTCCTGAGCCTTTTTCCTGAGAGATTTCCTGGTGGTGAAGGAGATCTGAGCCTAGTGTTGTGTTGAGAAGGTTGTAAGGGTCGTTCTTCTTCCTGTTTCCGTTCAGAATCGTTCTGTTTAAGAGGTGAGTGCATGACTGAGGGCTTATCTGAGCATTAGATCCTTTGTTTGATCCGTTTATATGTTGATTTGATGAGTTATTGACTGTTTTGTGTGTTTGCTTGGTCGTGCTTGCCTTGCTGGGTTCTTGTGTGGCCTATGTGTGAGTCGCTGGTCGATTTGGGGCACTGGAGAAGGAGAATTCGTGATGGGGAGATCGCAAGAAAAGTGCCTGCGCGATCGGTGTCGATCGACACCAAAGGGGGGTGTCGCTCGACACCAGTCGGGCTCAGTGTCGATCGACACGAGGGAAGTGTGTCGATCGACACCAGTTGCGAGTAGTGTCGATCGACACGGAGGTCGTGTGTCGATCGACACACGTTCGTCAGACAGTCTGTTTGTCTGGTTTGTTTGTGGTATATTGTTTGTGTATTGTTCTATTGCATGTGTGTATAGCATGTTGCTTGGGAGGATTGCCTCACTAAGTATTTATAAAATACTTACGCATCTCATTTGTGTTGTTGATGCAGGTAAAGGAAAGTTGTGACCGTGGGATCGTGGCGAGGAAGAGGGGATGATCTAGATGCTCATGTGTTGTGATCATCGCTGCTGTTGTTTCTGTTTTGCTAGGTTGTTAGTTCAGGAGTTAGAACTTTCACCTAGGTTGCTGATTTCATGAACCTTTGAGTTATGTTTTATTCTTTGGAGATTATTTATTATTTAATGGATTTATTTGTTAGACTTTAATGCTCTTTCCCGTTGATTGTGTTGACGTGTTTAGTGAGTATGAGATCACTAGACATGAGTTAATTAATTTAAAAACAAAATGGGTTGGGGTGTTTCAAATTTAGGACGGGATTTTACAGGAACGAAAACGGGACAAAAATTTGGAAAACAAAAAAAGAGGTCCCATTTATGTCTCAGTTAAAATGCGGGACAGGACAGGATGAGACTGAAAATATAGGACATAATTTTACTAGAAAGAGAACAAGACAGAAATTTGAAAATCGAAAACGAGGTTCCATTTATGTCCCAATTAAAATCCGGAACGGGACGGGAGAGGAATTTTAGGACGGGATTTTACGGAAAAGAAATCGAAAAAGATGTTCCATTTATCATTTATGTTCCAGTTAAAATTTGCGATGGGAACAGGATGGGACTGGATGAGACCGAAAATTTAGGACCGGATTTTACTTGAATGGGAATGAGACTGGAATTTGGAAATCGAAAGAGGTTCGATTTATGTCCCAGTTAAAATTCGGGACGAGAACGAAATATGACAAGATGGGAACGGGAAAGGGTTCACATTTTTTGCTGGAAATATGCGGGTTCATCTTTTTACAGAAAATTTGCGCGCTCAAGTTTTTTGGCATAAAATTAACGGATTTAAATGGCAAAACACATCATTCAAGGAAAATTATGGAATCTTATTTTTGGCGGAAAAATATGAATTATCGTATTTATCGAAAAAATTGTAGGTTAATCTTTTTGACGGAAAATTTGCGGAATCACGTTCGAGCTTGATAGTTAAAATTTTGATTGCATGTGTAGTGGATAAGAGTATTAATGATCATGTTTGACAGATCCTGAAGACAAGTATGTGGCATTGGAGAAGTATGGAAGAGATTTGACAGCAATGGCGGTGAAAAGGCAATGCGAGGCACATGAAAAGGACGTGATTGATTCCCAATTTATGTTTAGATAAAGAAAACTATGTTACGAAACTCTGATTATCTGAAAAAACGTGTGGTCTCAGGAAGGAAAATAGGAAGAAGATGGAGACAATTGATGCTAGAGAGATACACAAACAGTTTGGAAACGAAGACTGGGGAGAATATCTAATCCAAAAATTTACTAAGTTAAACTTTTGAAAGAAAAGTGCATACGAAAGGAAACTACACAAACTAAAATACTCAACTTAAAAAAAATTATATAAATGTCCAATGTTTTTTACACCGGACCGACAACTGAACCGGACAAGCATTTGGGTCACGGGTTAACATGGTCCGACCGGGTTTGATGACATCTTTTTAAATTAGTATATATAATACAGTTAGTGTTCATATACTTTTCAGTTTTAGACAAAGAAAGAAAGAATAAATATTGCAATGTAATATGCATTGATGCTACTTTAAAATTACTTAAACCCGGGTTAAATGGTTCAATTGGTTTGACGGTTTCCTTTTTTGGCGATTTAATGCGTTTTTTGAACCGGTCTAACTACTCCTCATTTTTAGAGTCGATCCAACCCGGTGATGCATCCAATTCGTGGTTAAACCCATCCGACCGTCGGTTTGGTTCGGTTTTAAAAACACTGCAAATATCCGAACCATTTACAATTCCGACAGAACATAAAACAAAAAAAAAACATTAAACTCTAATGTTTCCAAAAAAAAGACAAAATAATACAGAAAATATCAAACAAACTTAAACGAACTTGCCACCACTCTATACATCGACTATTAAAAAAAGAAAAATTCTCGTGCTGTAGCACGGGCCATATACTAGTACATTATAAATGAACACCCTTATTAGAATTATTTTCTTAAACTTATACAATACCATTATAAGCTTAAAATATGAGAGTTAGACATCCGGATCCACGGCCCAATGGAGCGCGTCTGATCAGAAGCTTGCGTGTTTGTTTCTCGTTGGGTTCAAATCCCCGAACATTCACTATAAATATTTTTCTCTAATTGCAAATCTATTTAACAAAAAAAAAACAAAAATAATATTTTTCTCTAATTTACTTTACCAATTCGCCGGCACGATGTCGATATGATAAACAACGAAACGGCAGCATTTACCTAATTACACGACAAGTCATCTGAGATAATACAGTAAAAACGCCACAGAGTCCGAATAACTTAGACCATGATCATTATCCCTAGTCCTTAAAAAAATGTCCTTAAAATGTTTTATTAATATTTTTAGTGTAAGAGTTGGTTGTAAAAAACATTTAAACTGAGTTGATTTATTGGTACAACTCTTAACCCATTAGTAATCCTGTCTTTGACAATCCACAAGGTCCTATAATAAAATCTTTGCTCGACGACCTCCCATTTTCGCCAGAAGCTAAAAATGCAGTCTCAGTCTTCCCTGCTCCACTTTCACCACTTACCAATACCGATTGACTAATTCCCTCATTAATCATTCAATAAAAAAGTAGGAAAAGAAAATGTCAAGCAGGTAACAACCAATGATGAATGGAACATGAAAAAATTCAACAACTTCAAAGCTGAATACTTGTTTTCAAACTAAGGTTTGAGGTGTAAGCTTCATCTGCAACTGCAAATGGATGGGGACTCAATTCTCCCAAGGCTGCTCCTTTATATTGTGTCATTGTAAAGATCCGATACTTGTTTAAAAGGAAAATATTTCCTGTTTTAAGGAAAAAGGAGGCCAGGTTTTAGGCAAATTTTACACACCAAAAAGAGAAAATATCTCGATTTCATCTAAAAATATAATATCTTGGATTTCAAACTTAAGGTTTAAGTTGGATAGAAAAACAAAAGGTCCACACACACATAGAAACTCTGCGAAAAGCTTGAGTTTAAAACACTAACAAACATGAAATCCATACAAGATGATCAATGAAGCAACCCACGCCTACTTAGTCATCGTTCATCATATCCTGGTATTGTCAGAATCCTCATCATCAACATCATAACCAACATCTTCATAATCCTAGTTTCACTACCGATTTGCCGTCCCTCAATGCCGACGACGTCGTCGTCGTCATCATCCTGATCATATCCTCATCATCAACATCAAAACCAACATCTTCATAATCCTTACGAGATAGAATGTTATTGTAATCGTAATACACCGGATGCAGCAAGCACCCATCCTTTAGTTGTTTCAGTCCCTCAATGTAGAGTTCCTTGGGTTTCACTACCGCTTTGCCGCGCAGAGCATCCTTTTGTTGTTTCAGTCCCTCAATGCCGCCGTCGTCGTCGTCGTCGTCATCATCATCATCATCATCATCATCATCATCATCATCATCATCATCATCAGCCTTGCGTGTCGTTAGCACATCGTCCACCAACATCTTGATTGGTATATCGTCAATCTTGTTGAGTGATGGATACTCGGCCTTGTTAAAATAGCGGGCTCTGACCTCATCATTCATCTTATCGTTATATTGCATGAGATAATAAATCATAGGATGGACTGTATCATTTAAAGTCTTCACTGGCACCTGCAAAACACAACAAACGGTGAGTACTTTCAGATTTTTTTTTTTTTTTATGTTTAGATTAACAACTTACATCCAACTTTGACATGATCTCTGTACATGCCAAGATAGCAGAAAGGTTCGATTCATATCCATTAGGACCATTACCCAAACCGAACATTACAGCAGCTCGGCCCAGCTGAATCCAAGAACTTGTACGTTAACAAATGACAAGGAACCAAATAAAAAAAAAAAAAAAAACAGAGATGCCTACCTTCGTTCTGGACGACGTGAAGAGAGATGTATCAATTACAGATGTGGGAGTGGGAGGTGGTTTTCCAATTTGATTACATCCGTAAGTCAACCTTTCACAATTGACTTTGTCATGAACCATCCACATTCTATTGTTGAGCAGGGAGTGGATCCACTTGTAGTTGCGCTCAAAATCGATATTACCGGAAGCCAAAGTATCACCCAGCGTCTGAGACAAGACTAGGGCTCCTCCGAAGAATAAATTACTACCATTGGGTTTGCAATCAAATATTACAAACGTGCGATCGATCTCCATCGGAACACAACACACACGAATCAGTGAGTTTGAGAGAGAGAGGTTTTGTTGTTTCTGAAACACAGATTTGCTTGCTTCTCTTCGATAGATCTCGGTAGATCTAGGGTTCTTCGCGAAACGACAACAAAGTAAACCGACACACACATTCACATAACTATTTTAATTACAGAAATACCCAGGCCCATGTAGCAAAGAGTAAGGCCCATTCACACGTTCAATTCCAGCCCATAAAATGGAGGCATATATATCGTGTGCTGGTTAGTTCAAGAAACCTGATCGATTACATCTTAAAAGCATCAGTCGTTAGTTGAGAAATTTCTCGATGAGAATGAATCCATGGATTGCGAGTATTGGACTACCGTATGGAAATTTGGTGGGTTGATGTAGATCCGTTGATGGCAATATAACTACACCCTTTAATGGACTTGTGCCTTGGTCGTTTCAAAAGAATATATATAAATGGATTCGTTTATACATGGAACTTGCATTCCTCAAAACATCAAGAATTATATATAAGGTATGTTGAAAATTTTGGCATATAATCTAACAATCTTGAATTTATTTTTAGCCCTTAAATTCTTTCTACTACGTCGTTCTTAGAGAGATTAGGGATATCTCCCGTGGAAGGCCTTCTGTATTTCTTGACTCTTTCTTACTTGTTCTTACAATTAAAGAGATCATATCATTTGAAAATGAGGATCGCCTAATAAAATGTTTATGCTCTAAAAGAATTTAAATGGTCGTTCGGATTGTTAAGCTTATTGGTTTTTATACAATTTGTGAGTTGTTTTATATGTTACTAACTAGATTCTGACCCGCACGTACGTGCGGGGTTATGTATCAAAATATTGTTAATTAGTCGTAAGATTATAGTTGAACATGTTATGTATCGTATAGAATATGCGATTTGGAAGTTGAGAATATGATGCAGTGTAATCCATAATGAGTAATTGATATATATATATATATATAGAGTATGTGAAGTAGTGAGATTATGGTTGTGTGTATTAAGATGAAAAAGTTGACAAACACATTTTGAGAAGCAAATACATTTATCTAAACATTTCAGAAAATTCATGAAGATCAGAAAAATAACCATTTTGGGGATGATTTCGTTTATGGAGTTAAATATAACTCTCGTGGAAGGCCTTCTGTATTTCTTGACTCTTTCTTACTTGTTCTTACAATTAAAGAGATCATATCATTTGAAAATGAGGATCGCCTAATAAAATGTTTATGCTCTAAAAGAATTTAAATGGTCGTTCGGATTGTTAAGCTTATTGGTTTTTATACAATTTGTGAGTTGTTTTATATGTTACTAATATTATGCATATTCTATTACTTTTTTGCTAAAACAAATATTAGTATATATAATATAAATAGATTTATTATTTGAATATGCAAAAAAAAGAAACGAATCTCAATTTGAAACTAACCAAGAAAGGAAAAAAGAAAACCAAAACCTAAAAGTAATATTTCATTAAAATTTAATTTAACTACCAAAACTATTTATATAAAATTAATTTTATACTTTGAATACTAAATTACTAATAACCTAAATATCCAAACCGAACCAGAATCTATGTTAGATATATGCTATCCATGCATAATATTTTATGTTACTCTCAAATGATGTATAGTGTTGAAATTAATACAAACAATTAAAATTAGATTATATATATGTTTTAGTATTCTTTTTAACACTTATTTTTTTGTTCATCCAATCTTTATTCCATTTTTTATTGCATTATTCCTTATGTTTTATTTTTATTATTTCATTTTTTTTGTGAAAGACAATACATATATCATTAATTTTTTAGTTTAATTTGATTTGTATTTGTTTTTTTAATTACAGTATGTGACACTTTTGCAAATAGACTATATATGACTTTCATTTTTTTTTTTTGGTAGGATGACTTTCATTTATTATGTATATCCTAATAGTTAATATTAAATATTAAATAAATATATTTACAGGATGTCAACAACAAAAGCTCAACCAAAGTAGTATAAAGAATCGTATGCCTATCCAACGAATTACGAATCTCTTGAGTAAGCATATGAACATGAAAGCCAGTCTCTTTCTTAATCATAATCAATCCAACTTCACGTCCAAGCTCATGAGCCGAATCGGCTGCAGCAACAGAAGCTTCAATTGCCATGAGAATCGGAAAAAAAAAAAAAAATTGAAAGAAAAAGGAAAAATAAAGAAAGAATAAGGATCATAATTGCTCTGATACCATATTGAACAATGAATCTCTTATTGATTGATTTAATTGAACAATAAGGTTACATGAGTATAAATAGAGAATAGAGAGAGAGACACGAAGAGACAAAAGAGAGAGTCAAGAGAAGAGATTAATGGATGAGAGAAACTAAGCTACAAAACAATGCATAACATGTAACCTTATTTGAAGATTACAATATCGTTTGCACAAGGCTTCCTAAAATAATGACTCACCTGAAACAATCACCAAAACCCTCTTTAGCTCACATACTAAAAACCTATTTTACTCTTAAAGATGTAACCTTTGACATTGTAATCAAACACACATAACCAACAATGTGAGAAAACAATACCTTCTCTGCTACTAATCTGTCTCCGACATCAAAAGTAGGATACATATAATATCTTTGTCCCTTCATTGCCAAAGCAAAAGAAAGCACAAAAGTTAACAATTTTTTCTAGTCTTAAACGGAAACAGGGAGACAAACAAACATAAAGTAGCTCAATGTGCAGAACTTTCACAATAACATACCCAAAAGCATACCTGAATCCTAAGAGATACACCTTGAAGTTGAGATTTAAGCTTGTAAAACTTCTCAATCTGATGCCTCGTTCTGATAAGATCCTTTGCAACATCCAAGAAGAAAAAGAATAAGGATCTTCAACAAAAGTCAAAAGCATGAGATAGATTCTTAACAAATGAAAGTCAGTGAGAACAAAATTTACAGAGGCTAATGCATTCAATTAGGATCAATCCTAAACCAGAAACCTTAAGAAACTCACAAACTAATACCTTAGTTTTAATTTTTTTTTTTTTTTGAAGCTGATGTGTCAACACAGGGGATGCTGACGTGTCAACCCCTTGTGAGACACAAACTCTTCTTTTATAGTATAGACTAGATAGTTACCCGCGGTGCACCGCGGGGCAATGAATGCTTAACTCATGATACCACATAGTTATTTTTTGTGAAGATTTGTGCATTATAGTTTATTTGACATGAAGTGAGTTAGTGGATAATTTATGGTGTGATTTAAATATTAAGATGTTAGAATTAAATAGTAATTGTTTTTTGAATTTCATATAATAGGTTTTGTGTTGTGACCCATCTTTATACAAATGTTTAATAATTTTAGAACATTTATTAAATTCTCTAATATTATTCTAGTTATATAGTAATGTATGTGTATAGAAAGAGTTCCTTATTCCTAAATTTGCAACTTTTATACTATATGATTAGTGAATTATAAATTTATAAAAGTTTTAATATAAAGAGCCCATGGAGTGTTGTGGGCCTATCTCATTATCCATTGAAACCAAAATTTATTGAATCAGAATTTCCTAGGGCCACTTTTATCTCCATAGTGTGTGAGTTTCGCTTTCCCCTTTAGCTTGGTCTTCTTCTCTACAAAACGGAATATACATGGTTATCAAATACAAGAATTTGTCGATTAAAAAAATGATGGTATCATGAAATCATGTTGATTTCAATCAGAAGAAGCCGATTGTAAAATTAAGGTAATTTGATGTGGTGGATTTTCTAGGGAATTAGTTTTTTATAAACTCAGAAATTGATCATAAACTAGGATTTAACCCGCGGTATCCCGCGGGCGTAGATTTTGTGCGGTTTTCTTATTAAGTAGTTGATTATGTTTTATATACATAATTTATAAAATTGGTTTTTAAATTAAATCCTTTATAACTAATAATTGGTATTTTTAATTGGTTGGTTGTTATTTAATACTTAGAAGAATGTGATTTAATGTATTTAAATAGGTGTATTAATTATAAAATGGGTTTGTAATGTTAATATAAGTAAAGTAGATATTAAAATGTGAAATAGTAAAAGTGGTGTAATTGTTTTTGTGATTATAAGTGTTCTTTTACTATATAGTTTTGAAGAGAATTTGTTCTTAGCATAACAAAGATTCTAACATTTATAATTATTTTTTAAAAAAATTGAAGAGAAAGTAAACAAATAAAATTAAAATTCTATTTTAAAAAAATTAAAGAAACATAAGTTGTGTATTTAAAAAAATAAAAAAAAAACAAAAAAAAAAAACAAAAAAAAAACATATGAGAACGATGATTCTCGTTCTCCACCGAAAGTTAACATCCATTGACATGCTTAAGCTTTACCGATGATACCGAAGAAGCTGATTATCAGATCATAAGCTCACATCAATCGACATGTTCTCTGCGCCAATTCTTCTTAATTTGTAAGCTTCATTCTAATTCAATTGAATTGTTTCAAGATAATTTAGCATCTGTAATAATATGAGACACTAATCAGTATCTCGATTCTGTGATCAATTACCTTTTTCGGATTTCATATAGGATTTGGATAAAGCACTTGAGATGATGAATTGGTTTCTGTTAGAAATCTGGGAGAGGGGATCAGTGAAGAACAGAACCTGAATGAAACCATTTTTGATAAAATTTCGCAAATCGACAACACTTAAAGCAATAATCATTTCTATAAGGTTAGTTTTGAATCTGTTTTTTCAGTTGTAGACACAAATTGAAGTTGTTGTTTGTCTCAATCGGAGTTATAATTGAACTAAGGTTTCTTGATTTTGTTGTCTAGAAATGAACTCTTAAACTTACACTACTGTAGTTGAAGAGAGTCTGATTATGTTTGGATTAAAATGACTATGGAAAGGAACTTGCTGTTCTAAAAAACACTACAAAACATCTGCAAAGTTAAATAACATGTTGAAAAAAACTAAAACTATCCTAATTCCTTAGGTTCTGAAAGATCTCTTTGAAGACGACATTCATTGTTTGATTCTGAGTTTTTCCTTCTTTATCCACAATAAGAACTTTCAAACCTTTTTTGGAAGTGACTCTTGATAAGGCAACATACAGCTGACCATGAGAAAATACTGGTCTAGGAAGATAAATCCCTACCTCTTTAAGTGATTGTCCCTGGCTTTTGTTTATTGTCATTGCAAAAGCCGCAGATATTGGAAACTGTCTTCTCCTCATGCG